AATGTCATGCAAACAGTGATTTAGTCACATTACGCAGAATCAGCATGCGTTGGAAAAAGCAACATTATAACAATTCAAAGCAGATAGAGATGTTTTACTATCTACAGAGTAATGTCATTATGGCACGATCCACATTTAATGCAAAATATTTTCAAATAAAGATATTTACAGTTATGGAAACATGACCCAGTCAATAGGAACACAACACTGTTTATCAACATGCCTGCAAAAACTGGGATAAGACGAGAAACCACAGGTGAAGAAAGAAAAGGGACGAGTTAAGACAATCAGCAGGATACAAAGAAGACGGCAAGTAACAGAGATCAGCAGAGGAAGGAAGAATATACACGTCTTTGAATGTTTCCAGGGTCGGTTAGCTGAGCTTAAGGCCGAGGCAGAGAGCCAGCTCGTTCTTTTGGATCTTTCCGTCTCCGTTGATGTCACAGTGACCCATCAGGGCTTTCCTGAACTTATCCAGGTCTGTCCCACTGATGCTGGGCTGCAGAGAGAATTAATAGCTGTGAAAGTCTTAGTGGATTTAAATGCTTCAAATAAAAGTCTCTACAGGTTATTAAAACAAAGAACCAACCCTTCTCTGTAAGGTTTGTTTTTGTTACAGAATAACTGCATTTTTGTGAGTTGTAAGAGTTATACCTTCACCAGCTCCATCATATCTTTGACAAATCCATCCACCTCAGGGCCCTCCAGTGCACCCGTCTTACTCTACACACATGTGGCATAATGTTATTTTATCATCAAGAATAACTGTGTGTCAGAACTTCAAAGGTTTTCTTTCTCTGTTCACATGAAAAATGTGCTTTGCGTGAACCAGTCCTGCTCTCTGGTTGCATTATTAACAAAACAACAAAAGAATTCAAGCCCAGTGAGAAAGAGATGATTATTAAAGTGGGTAAAATTCCACTTACAACGTCATAGTGAGCGAATATCTTCTCAAAGTCCCTCTTTCTGTCTTCCTGACTGCAAGCCTGAGAGCAGAATGAATATGAATAAATGAATATGCAAACTGAGCATGAAAGGATAAATATGATTCAGTCACAGTGGCTTTGTTGTTAGGTGCAGTTTATCCACTTTACACTACAAGTATTCACACTTACATCCATCTTAAACTTCAGCAGGAAATTTTCTTTTAAAGCCAAAATTCTGGAGAAAAAAAACAGATTTTTGTCAAATAGAAATATGATGGAATCCAATAAATATTTTCAGTCCTTCAAAGGGTTTTGTGAGTGATTCTATCAGGATGCAAGGACAAAAAAAGAAAATATTTTAAAGCAGAACAATAGAAAATAGAAAAACATCATAAAGAGACTCAAAACGGTGACAAGCAAGGTCACAAAAACAAAAGAACACAGAGAGGCTGATCGATCAAAGCAAAGAAAGTGACAGGGGTGCCACCAAGGGGGGCAGGGGCCATCCCCCCAAAATGTGCTGGCCCCCTCAGTGCTGCTTATACAATTTTTGTCATCTGTAGTGTGTCCCTCACGATTTCCCATCGTCACCCCCTCCCCTGTGTCACCCCCATGAACAATTACTGCAGGCGTTGCTGCAAAAAGGTGTAAAAACACTCGTAGGTGCCAGAAAGCGATCGATGAAACCATTCGAACAGTACCTGGCCAGGTCATTGAGATCCAGTCTGCCATCTTTGTTTTTGTCAAACATTTTCATCTAGAGGGAAAAAACACGTCAGAGTGAAGATGAGCCACACTTGTTGCCCCCCCAAATCCCAACCTCACTGTTACCATGGTGTCAGTGTACTCCTCCAATTTTTTCGGGGTGATGGTCTTCCCATGTTGGAGGAACAAGTCTTGAAGAAACCCCTGAAGAAAGACATAAGGAAGATGCGTCTGTCACAGAGAAACTCAACAAATGTGCTTTTTCATTTTAATTAAGTAACAATCAATAACGATCTAATCTGGGTTGACACAATAAGCAAATCAATGATTTTTGGGGATCTGAAATCATTTCACCACCTCTGAAAGCTCTGTCTGTTTTTCAGATACTTTCTCAGATTTGAACAGTCACCTTGAGTTCAATAGCTGAGATGTAGCCACTGCTGTCTGTGTCATAGTTTCTCCAAATCTGCAAAAAGAAAGAAGATAAATCCTAAAAATAAACCATTAACATGAAATTACAGCTCGTCTTTGTGCTGAAGGTTGAGCCACACCAGCAACAGCCTAAAACCTACAGGTCTCCCCTTCAAGGTCCTTTCCTTGTTCACCTTTGGACCTCTTCCAGCATGTTGCACTTTTTATTGTTTCAAATATCTTTTATTATTAGGAGCAAGTATCATGGTTGTTACAAATTGATAGATCTTATGCCCCTTTTTTTTCTCTAAGCTTACAAAACAGACAAATAAACAACATCAAAAGAAAGAAAGAAAGAAAGAAAAAAAAACACCCACTATGGGCCCCAGTCCCCCGACTGCCAGAAAAAAAGAAAGTTTATATTTTCCCAAGGTATGTAGGTAAAGGATGCCAGATTAATTCAAAGTCTTTTACATTATCATTCATGGTATTTTTTCAAGATGAAGAGTATTTGTAAGTTCTGTAAGCCACGTCTTTAATACAGGAGTCTCTTTGCCTTTCCAAAGCTGCAGGATCAGTTTCTTTGCAATAATCA